ATGATGCGACTTTAACGGGAATGCGATAGTTCAACAACATAGCTTGGCAACAGAAAAAGCTCTTTGATCGGCGCTATTTTGTTATCCTTTTCCGTATACAGTAAACCGAGAATGTCCCGTGACTGGATACAACCCCCGGCCGGAGCTTGGAATCGACAAACGGATCCAGCTCCGTTTGCACGCCTACGCAACACAACAATTCACACCTTTTTTTTTTTTTACCTCGTTTCACCGCCTAACTTTGGAAGACCCTTATAGGATGAGTAATTTTTTATATTATATCCTTAGTAATCTTTTCTTCTTTTTCTTTGAGTTGAACGATATCATCGTGATGGGGAACGGAAAACGCATGTGCATATCACTGAAAAAAAAAAAAAGGAACATCCAGCCATGGCTTTGCAAAAAAGCCTTACAGTTAAAAGGTCTTCCTCTTCTGCATACGCCATCTCCTTTAGCTCCTACCCCCCCTCTCTTCCCATAACCGTTCTCGACCCATCGGCGCTCAACTATCCCCTCGGCGAGACGGACAACCCACCACCACCACCACTATCACCACCATGAGCTCTCGTTCCTCCATCGTCATAGAGGAAAAACCTGCCTACGTCCAACCACAACTAGGACGATGGCACAAGAACCTTCTCCTCACTCTCTTTTGTCTCGCAGAGTTTGTGGATGCGTTCTCAAACTCTGCTCTCTTCCCTGCTCAACCCGCGTTTAAAAAAGCGCTTAATATGCAAGATAACGAACTCACCTGGATGTTCTCTGCTTATTCCGCCGCTTTCGCTGCTTTCTTGTTGATTTCTGGTCGAGTGTCTGATATTTACTCTTCCAGTTGAGTTACCACCGAGGTATTTTGACGCGTTGTACTGACGCGCGTTTTCGCGATCATTTCCTTAGAGTGGACCTTCATCGTTGGATCCGCGCTCGTCGGTTTGTTTTCCCTCGGATGCGGGTTCGTTAAGGATAAAGTCGGGATGTTCGTTCTTCGTGGTCTCATGGGTGCGTTTTCTTGTTATTCCCTCTCTCAACGATCAAAAATCTCACGTTCCAACTTTCCTCCCATGTAACTTACTCCACCTCTCCACTATAAATAGGTGTTGCTGCAGCAGCCACTGTCCCATCCGGCTTATCCCTCATCATCGAATGGTTCCCAGATCCCCATGAACAAAACTTTGGTATCTCCATGTTCGGAGGTTCCTCCGCTTTGGGAAACGTACTAGGTATAGTCCTAGGAGGGATCTTCACTCAATGGGTATCTTGGAAATGGATCTTCTACTTCATCACCATCCTAGGCGTCCCCATCGCCGTCATATCCATCCTATCCATCCCCCCTTCCGGTCCCCGTGAGAAACCTTCTTTCAGGAAACTCGACTTACCGGGCGTCATCCTCTTCACCGCTTCCGTCATGTTGTTCATTTACGCCGTCACTTCGGGTTCGGTCAACGGATGGGGTTCGGCGAACGTCATTTCGACCTTGGTCGTTTCTATCTTGGCCATGGCTGGGTTCTTCACTCTCGAAGCTTGGTTACCAGAAGAGATCGCTTCCCTCCCACCCAAAATCTGGAAATATCCAAACATACCCGTTCTCATGCTGTGTGCTTACTTGCCTTTCTTCTGGTGGACGTCCCTCTTCTATTCCCTCATGGATTACTTCCAAACCGAATATCATTGGGATACCATCCTTACCGCTATTCGATTCTTACCTACCGGAACGTTCTCAGCGCCTATCGGTGTTTTGGGAGGGATGTTCCCTAAATATATCGACATTCGGTATTCGATCTTGATTGGGATGGGAATGGAGTTGGTTGCGACCATCTTGTTACCGTTTGCGGATACGAGAGAGAGGTATTGGTCTTTGATGTTCCCTGCGTTCATCATTGGAACGATTGGAACGATGACCGTCTTTACCCAGGCTAACATTGGTGTCTTTATGAAGTGAGCTTTCTTTGTTTCTTACCCCCTCCCTCCCTATTCGGACACGACTAATTTCCCTTCTTCAGTACCCCACCTCGAATAGCAGGTGTCGTAGGAGCGATATTCAACGTCTCCCTCCAACTCGGTCTAGCACTCGGTCTAGCCATCCTCACTTCCATCCGGACCTCCATCGAAAAGAAAAAGATACAGAGAGGTGAACATCCTGGGTATACCGGAATCGCCGATGGGTATTGGTTCGTGTTCGCTTGGGTGGCCGTGACCGCCGTGTTGTTCTTCTTGTTTTATAAGAAGGGAGCGAGTGGACCGCCGGATGAGGAAGTGGTCGCACCTGCCAGTGGGGATGCGGAGAGTGAGAGGACGAAGAATGAGAGTAGGGAGGCGGTTCTTAAGCAGTAGAAGAGAAGGCTTATACTTTAACGCTATAATTGTGATGACGATGAAGAATCTTTTTTTCTTCTTTTTCTTCCTTTGTGTTCTCTCTTGCCTTACTTACGTGCGTAACGGCTTGTTGGCATTTCTCTCTCCCTCTCTCCCCACTTATACATGCACTTGCAATCGTTGAATAACAGAATACAATAGGCAAACCGGAAACAATGAATCTGGCATTCAGTCACACACACACGTGCCCCGTACCTCCTTGCATTGCAACGCATCACGTGGGTGTTACCTGCAGTACAGCAGGTCACTCTCCCGGTGTTAATATTACGTGAAAACTGACGCTGAATCTGACGTGTTCACCCATTTAGTTGCTGTGTGGTCATCTGATGCAATTGTTAAATTCATAAGCAATACAGTTTTGCTACCCGTGGGAGTTGTAAAGGGGTTTTGCAATGTTAACAATTGCACTAGATAACTAGAAAGGTTGCGAAGCAACCATGCACATCATTACAGCAAGGTGCAAAATTATCGGCACATCAAAATTTAACATACATGGGGGTAGTTTAGCGGAATAACAATTTAGGAAGAAATTGGGCGTCAACCAATGTTTCCCAATGGCACCGCTTCACTGAAACCAAACATGGTAGGACCTTTGACCATAAATATCATGGTGTTCACCGCTGTCACAGATAACATTACAATAATATCACCATGTTCACCGCTGCCATAGATAATATTATAATAAATATCACCATGTTCACTGCTACTCCGCTATTGCAATGGGTAAGCATCTAGCGCCCTCCGCTAAGGACCTCATCATCACTATGTCTGAGACCATGAGCACATGGGATATCTCATTGGCAATAAATGTGCCCAGATGCACAATCCAGCGTATTCTTCAGGACCCGGAGAGGCATCATCGTGAACCTCTTGCTGAGACTCGTGGCCGGCCTCGTTCTCTTGACATACATGCTATCAATGTAGTGCACCTACATCTAGAGCTATGCCATATTTCCCTAACTCCTACCCAAGTTTCTAGACAGTATGATCGAAATGAAACCAGATCTCATGCTTGCTGAGTGTCAGAGACCAGGTTCAAGACGAAGGAAAGTCTCCGTGGTGGAGGGCTTCGGCCTCAGCGACTTATGCCAAGAGCGCTGTGCCTAGTAACACGTCCGTGCCCTAACTTACTAACTGGCAACCAGAACTGAAGGGGGGTAACTCTAGTCGATTTTATTACTGAAGTGTAACCTATGTACAAGCTGGATATATATATGGTTACAGCGAAGACGGGTCCGCAAATGGCGGAGCCGAACGGAGCGGAGCTAACGGGGTTAAACATTAGCCGACTGAATATTACCGACGAGTCAGGTCGCGGGGTTAACGGAAAGGCAGGCGATAACCCAGAAATGGAAAGGAGGGATAGGCCCGAAGGTGGGCTCTGCAGGGCAGGCAAGTGTATTGCCCAGCAGAGGTGGGAGTGTGCTAGCGGACGTCGGAGCTGTCCGGAAGTCTTCGGGGCTCTGTACTTAGGGAGGCATAGGTAATAAATTGAAAGGAGGGGGTGGTGACCATCGAGGGGTACCGAGAGGATTGCGGAATACGGGAGCTCCGAGGTTAGTAAGGAAGGAGCGGAGGTAGGCCGGAGGGATCGGAGGGACCGGAAGTCGATGGCCGGGAATGGATATGACACTGAGCTGCACAATGCTCTCAGCAATGAATGCAATGTTCAGACCAGTGACTATACAATTTCTCGTGAAATGAAGTGCCGTGGTTTGACATACAAAAAGGTATATTGTTACTTTCTGCTTATGAGATTACCACTAACTTCTACTTTAGGTTCAGAAATTAGCAGTTGAGTGCAATGAGGATAGGTGCGCAAACTTCCGACAATATATGGCAATGAACTATGAAGCAGCACAATTGGTATTTGTGGATGAGACTGGAGTTAGTCATCACACAGGAACCCGGACGCGTGGTTGGTCACCTTGTGGAGAGCGCGCACATCGCTGTGACTTTTTTTATCCGTGGTGTAAAGTAAGTTAGATTTTGCATGGGTATAGTACAAGTTAACAACTATCAAATTAGGTATTCCATCCTCCCCGCAATGTCACTGGAAGGTATCTTGCACTGTGACATCCAAGTCGGGGCTTACACAGCCAAGGCATTTGATGACTTTATTGAAGGACTTCTTGCTGTAATGTGTCCATTCCCACAGCGAAACTCGGTCCTTGTGATGGATAATGCAGCCATTCACAAGTCAGATCGACTCTTACGAATGTGTGAGGATCAGTGAGTAATCAAATATTTTATTATCATTATTCTAATTCTTTTGTAGTGGTGTCCGACTGGAGTACCTTCCCCCATACTCTCCCGACTTCAACCCAATCGAGGAAGCGATCTCATCTATCAAGGCCTGGCTGCGACGCAACTGTGTGTATGCAGACAATGAACTTGCATCACAATCCCTAGTTCGTGCAACTGACTTACTCATGGCTGCTGTGTACTCTGTAACGCCACCGAAAGCCCATGGTTGGTTTCGTCATTCAGGCTACCTTTGAGCTCTCATCGTTGTATGATACTTCATAATGTATATACAACTTCAAATGGTAAAACGAAAATCAGAGTAAAACTGAGGATGGCTGATTGGGTGGGCCATGACTCAGAGAAAAAGCGCGTCTTTGCCATCAGGCTTCATCGACGGCATCAACAAGCTCATCATCGCTACTGAGCTCCACCAGACCAGGCTCCACCTCAGTGTGACCCTGTTTAACATCAAAACCAATGTCGTCCTCACTCCCAGAGTCAGGTACAAGGAGGTAAGTGATGGGTGGGGAGTTGATCCGTTTGTGCAAAAGCTGCCTGCATGGTGACGATGGGATGTCGACAACTGTTGCTGAATGATACTTGCGTTTGACTTGACGTTGGTAACGGATGTGCGAAGGCGATGCAGCAATGGGTGGTGACGGGGATAGGGTTAAGTCGATAAGTGGGGCACACTTCGGGGTGCTCGGTCCTGAGGTCAATGGGTTGACATGCGTGGGCTTGGTGATCTTGAAAGTCCCAGGTTTCGTGATTGGGTTTGGGGCATGGTTCAGAGAGCTGGGTCCTGCAGTTGCATTGGCCAATGTGTTGACATGCACAGACTTGGTGGTCTTGGAAGTGCCAGGCTCTGCGATCGGGTCAGTGATGAGTAGTGGCTCAGTAATCTTGGGACGTTTGGAGCTGTGAAGAGGGGACATAGACAGAGGGCGCTTTGTCAGCGTCGTGTTGCCAGATCGTTCAATATCTGGGGACTGAGAGATCTTGGGGCGTTTGGTGGAGCGGAGAGGTGATAGAGACCGAGAGCGTTTTTGACGTTTTACATTGCATCCATCAAACGCTTTATGTTGAGGTGGCCTCTCCAATGTTACACCCACTGTACCTTGACTCTACAATGCACAACAGAAAATAGAATAATAAAAATGAGTAAAGCCAAATGGCAATGATAGTAAAAAAAAAATCAAGGTGACGTACCAGGTGATTGGCCCACAGATCCATGACCTTGTTCGACAAAAATAGATGCTCCCAATCTGCCTTTGGGTGAGGATAGCACTGTCGCGAGTGTCTATTGCACCAAGTGGATTTGATCAGTTGTTTGAAGGTTTCTTTGCGCAAGTTTGAAGGTGGGCTAGCATCGGATCGAGTGGAAGGTTTTTTGCCTTTTGCCTTACTAGTAGTCTTCTCAACAGCAGACTACAGGTTGAATACTGAGTAGTCGTATGGTATTCAGAATGTATAACTTACGAGATTGAATATTTTCATGTGCTTTTGCTCATGAGCACGGGATTGAATTTGGCATTGAACTTCCAGTCCAGCTGCAAGAGTCTCTGCACAGTCAATTATAATAGCATTGTCCTTTACCTTCATTTTGGATGTTTTATACACGATTTGGTGGTTCTCAGGGTTGATGCCCATCTCAGATGTGATCTTCGCCAGCAACTGTTCAGCAGTCCAGTCATCGAGGATGTCCAAGACATGGAGGACTGTTGGTTTAGAAGGGTCCAGGGTATGAAGGGGCACTTCAACTTGTAGGCCTGAAAGGGCGTTAGGTAGTCCATAAAAACGAAAAGGAGTTTGATGACTCACCAAAACCCTGCTTGGCCCCAGCAGTTTTGCTGGCTAGCCTCGCTGAGGCCCTATTGACCGATGATAGCTCAGACTGAGTAGTAACATTGGATGATGTGGAAGGTTGGGTGGTCACGCCTTCAAATAGATTGATGGCGTTTGCGAGAGTGATTGGTGCATTTGATGTTTGTCATGGTATGACTGAGATACTTTTGAACATGCGTGCAGATGGCATTGCTGGAAAGCACTTGATCCCCTGTAAAATATAGAGCTGGTTGAGAATGTTGAAACAGATGTAAGCAGTACTAGTGAGACGGAAGTGGGACGAACAATCATCAGGGACCCAGCATGACACCTGATCATTTCGGCCATTGCCATCAAGAAGGGCATCAAGAACAATGGCTGAATTGTCGGGCAAATATTTTGCATGCCCATTGACTAGACATTTTGAGAGTGCATCCTGCTGAGTTCTAGGGAGTGGAACCAGGTCCGTTGCTCCAAGTAGGTATGCAACAGGCCATAGGGAGCGTTTTTCACGATTCTCCTCCCAGAATTCGAGGTTGAGTTTCTGAATAGAATTCATTGTAGTGAAATTGAGTGCTGAGAGATGCAAACTGAGGCTCCAGGAGTCAGTGCAGAACAAGAGCCATGAGACGCGTGTTTTATACCTGACTTACGGTCACCGATGAGAAGGCTGCCAATGTCAGATCTCATCAGCTTGTGCTTCGCATAAACAACAACAACAAACACGGTTGTTGCACATGGGATGGTCTAAGCACTCAATGCCAGGACCCCAGCTGAGCTGTCAACAGATATGGTTACATTGGTTTTATATTGGCTTCTATTTTTGCCCAAATTAGCTACCATTTTTGGATTTCCACATGATCCGGCTAAGTCATTTAGCCAAATTTGACGTGTCGATCTTTTTGCACCTTGCTGTAATTGCTGACCACAAGGCCAGTTATTGGAGTTGGCTTTAGTCATTTAATTCCTTGACACTCCATCTGTCAAGCACCCACTCAGTTGACATTTTCTTTGTAGTTAACAGACATAATGAGCACTATGAGTTGAATCGAGGATGGTCTGAAACGATAAAAAGTATAAAGGGTTGGCACCGTCTCTTACTCCTGCCTTCGGCACTTAGCCAGAGAAGTGTCATTTGGAAGGCGAGCCACCTTCTACATGGTTACTAAGAAGGGGAGCTGAGTCTCTAAACACTATGATCTCCTCCACTGTGCGGAGTATGTTGTCCTCTTCTCAGTGCCTATCAAGTGACATGCTGGTGACATCAAACCTAAACACCAATCTGAACATCACAAATGGAACTCGTGGGGAAGCGGTGGGGGCCGAGAGTTTCGCTTCATTACCACCCTCTTATCAGGTTGGATGTCGCTCAAGTGCTCTATGGCACCCAACAAAGATGGAGAACTTGCGGTCAGGAAGTTCTCATTTGTAAAGTGAGAGTCGATGTTGCCATTTGTGAAGTGAGTACCAGGGTTGTCGCCAGCCCATGGCTAGTACATGACCTGTGCACGAAGCCTTGAAGCGGGCGGACTCCAGCACATATGCTTCGAAAAGTTGAATATGCCAGCAAATACTACTTGGGAAGCAGTGAGGGCATCGGGTGCCGGTTATTACTTGACTGAGTTATACCAGGGATGCACTAAACACCAGAGAACTTCAGGTATGATGATGGCAAGGGGGATGACCATAACACAATGATACATAATACAATTCGTTGAATGGTCACATGCTATTGGGAATCACATGAGAAGTAAAAGTAATATAAACACATTTTTCCCACACAATTGTGGGTTTGGAAGTGACCTTGCAAGCAAGGTAACCTGTTGTGGTGCAATAATAACAAATGGAGAGGATGTTTTCTTAATCCCATTGCAGAAAATTAAAAGGTAAACGGTTGAGAACTGAGAGAGAGATACAAGTGGTGGCCCATGCCAGCGCGTGTTTGTGTGTGGAAAACAGTGTCCACGGCCTCATACAGGCTGTTTGACGACGTGCGCCAATAATATAAAGTATAGGGGACATTTGTAGACGTTCATTGAAAAAGATCCGACGAAAAACGAACAATATTTGACAGAGATACGAATGTACATGCTTTTTTGTTTCGAAAAAATGTGAAAAACTGTCCCACTGCCTCATACACCCTCATTCGCGATGTGCGCCAATAATACCAAATAACGAAAGAGTTAGTGCAAGCCTATTCGCAAAATATGACGGGAAACGAATGCGAATTGACAGAGATATTTATGTAGATGCTTTTGTTGTGAAAAAATGTTCCACTGCCTCATAAACGGTGACTTGCGACGTGTGCCAATAATAACAAATAACAAGGGCATTAGTTAAAAGAAACCTGACGAAGAACGAATCAAAATTGACAGAGATACTAATGTACATGGTTTAGTTGTGGAAAAATCGTGCTACTTCCTCATACACGCTGATTCACAACTTGCACTAACAATACCAAATAAATAAAAAGTTGGTGCGGGCCCATTAAAAAAAACTTGACAAGAAATGGTCAAGAACTGACAGAGATACAAATCCAGTGTCAGCTCCGCGCATGATCTGTGCATGGGAAACTGCCTCCAGCGCTTCACAGATGTCTTAGAAATATGTGAAAATACCTAATACTTGCGCTGATAATATGTAGAATGGTACGAAAAATTATAGAACATTTGGTGCTGTATTAAGCGAGATATAAGATTAATACCATCCAGTTTGTGTGTGGGAAATGAGCAAAACCGCCATAATCTCAGGATCGCTGAACGATGAGTTGGACTAATAATACAAAACATAGAAGACATTGAGACGCGTCCATCAAAAATAGCCCGAGGAGAAACGGATGAGAATTGACAGAGATATGATAAGTTTATGTGTAAATCACATGTATATGTTCAGTTTGAGGAAATCCACATAAGCAAATGAGTTTCACCTCCCACAACTTTTGCATGCACAGACATTTGCACAAAAGTACTAATACCCCCACTCAAAACCAGCACCTTGCAACTGCAAAGTCGTTAAACTACCACTGGGAGGACATGGGACATCGTGCACAGTACATAAATGAGAGCGAAAAACTACAACAACATAAACGTTAACAGCGCTGGCAACGGCGAGCACCTGGCCATGTCACTGGGCCCCTCAGGGTGTCACCAGAAGACGGCTGAGCTGAATGTGCTGGAGGGTGGGTGTGCCTGAACGGAACCTGCCTACTTGGAGCCAGTGTTCCTCAGCACCCAGGTAACTCCGACACGGAGTTAGGTTGGTTGAACCATGAGAAACTCCCTTGAAGTTTCCTTGTCCTGCTAAAATACAATATGGAGACTTACCCCTCTGGTAAGCAACTCCCTAACCCTTCCTAACCAAGAATGGCAGCATCCCTGGGGGAAAAGCCCCTGGGTCTAAGACTGCCACCTATGCCCGCTGCTGTACATACACGTTAACACAGACCCCCAGACCCTAAAACCCCCCAACTACCCACCAGCCACAGGGAGGATGACACTATGGTCGAAAACTCACCAACTGACGCCAGAGGCAACAAGACCTCTGCCTCCATAATCATGCCAGGTACCCCCCCGAGTCCGGAACCCATCTTCAATAGCTACTTTGAAAGTCTAAAATGCCACAGATCCCCCGGCTCTGCCGCACTTGAGGGCCCAACCCTCCCCCCTCCCTCAGTGGAGGAGATCGACCATAAACTCCCTGCTCCTTGATGCTGGTGGAGCGGACCCTTTCGAAGCCCCATGCCTACAAGTGGGACCAAAAGTTGGAAAAGGCTGCCCCCCAATGGGCCTCCCCGGACCCAATAGGGAAGACGACGCAGCCAAAAACCCTAAAACTCTGGAGCATCTCACCAGGGCCCCAGCCACTGCAGACACCCAATGCCACCCCCTCCACCCACATGATGGCCAAGAATCCTACAACTTCATCGACCTCAAGGGAGAACTGTCATGACCAACAAATCCCGGGGCTCCGTCAGCGGCGAACCAATGCCGATAGGCGAATCCGCCGACCCGAAACCCATCCTAACCAGCCCCCAACCCCATGTCTGGCCCCCTGCCTTACTGCGTGAGACTTGGCCAAGAATCAGAACCTAGACCCTGCCGGTATTCCGACCTTACCTCCAGTTCCTGAGCCCTTGGCACTCCCGGCATTCAGTCACGCCTGCCTTGTCTCCATCTGAACCACACTCATCGCTTCCTGCTATGTGGTCACAGCCATGCCCCGCTTCCGTCCACTCCGCACCCTCTGCCCACTTCGCACCCTCTGCCCATCTCTGCACCTTCTGGCCACTTCTGGTTGCCCTTGACACCTCTGGTCAGGTCAACACTCCCACTCCCCTCTGTACCTCTGTTGGCCTTCATGCTGTCCTTGTGTGACAGTGCTGGCAGATCAACTTCTGTTCGCGGACTTGTGTCGGCACCGCACCGACCCCGCTTATTTGCGGACTTGTATCGGCGCCACACGCTGACCTCCACTTTTCCTCTGGCCATTTGTCACTTGGCAGCTTATCATTCATTCCTTGCCGAGTGCCATTTATTGTTTGCTTCCCTGCCAATATCGGCATTTGATCCCCTCTTTATTGGCACTAGGTTATTGATCTCATTCAGTTATTCATCAATAACCCTTGCCACTTATTGTTTAGTGATCTGTTCCTCCTTTCCAGTTCCCGGGCTCTTGTCCTTATTTAGTTTGACAATCCCCGCTTATCTCCGTGCTGGACCACGCCGGACTGACCGGCCTTTCTATATTCCCTCTTGCCTATTTATATACCTTGTAAATACTTTTGGGGACCTCAGTCTGAAATCAACTAGAGTACCCCCCCTGTCTGGTCTGAGTCTCTCCTTCTGCAAAGGGGGCTTCCCCCCTCTGAGTCCGTGCTCGCGGAGTCCGCGCTCCTCCTACAGGTCCGCTCCGCCCACAAGTCTGGTTTGAAGTCCACTGTAAGTGTCAGTTTGTAAATACGGGATCTCCCCCAAACGTCAAGCTCAGGGCACAGCGCTCCACCTGAGTCGCTGAGGCCGCGATCCCACTCTGCTAACCTTGAACAGCGCTTCCGGACGCGCCGCATATTTCCGCCCGCATATCCGCGCGTGCGCGCTCCAACAGACCTCTGCCACAATCTCCGACACCGACAATATCCCAGCCTCTGACAATAATCCCGTCTCTGACAAGAACTTGAAAACTTTAGAGCCCATGGTGTCTGGCCTGCGAGAATCTTGTGCAACCTCCGTGAAGACTGCCTCCAGAAGTGGCAATCTGACCCCAGTGCAATTTTGGTGCTCCCCCTAGATGCCCACTACAACACCGAAAAATTCCAGACTGTCCACAACGACCTCATGACTTTCCTAAAAAGGGCATTCCCGCAATCAGCCCAAACCCTATGTGTCATCCCCCCCATCACCTCCAAAGAAGGGTTAAGCCCCCCTTGGGGATTTTTCATTGGCAGACTTCACCCCATGCAAGCCCACCTCCTAGTCACAAAGCACCTATGGCTCTCATGTGCCATCGGGTTCATCGCCATTAACCTCCTGACCTACAGCCCAACCAGCTACGCAGTCACTA